GGTCCGAGCTTAATGAAAACCAAGACCTCACCTGTATTTCCAGCTTTAAGTGAAAAATGGAGCTAACTACCAACAAGCATTAGTGAACAACCCATGAATTAAACTTCACCGATAAAGAAACTGAAAATAAAGAGGCTGTACATCCAGCTGACTATCCCCTGAGAAATGCCAACAGAAAGCAACCCGCATTAAAAGTACAAAGGAACTGATCCCGGCGTCTCAAAGGGAATGACTTCTCCAACAGCACTGTAATTTCAAAGCTTTCCTCACAAGTCTCTTGCCAGCTCTAGCACAGAAAGAAATCTATTAGCAGATAGGAAAACTCACTGGAGCTCCCTGCTGCTGAAACCCACCAAGCAAAGCAGCTTCCAGCAAGTTGCCAGGTGAACCAGCTCAAAAAGCAGCTCCCAGGGAGCACCCAGGGAAAACCACACTAGCATCACCGTGCCAAAAAATGCACTGAATCACTGTGCATGGTGACAGGTGATATTTTCACTCCTGGGTGCCAAAAGTCCCTTTACTTACCTATTCTTGATTTTCACCCCTGTGCATCTGCTCGTACTGGAAATTTCTCAATACATTTCTTTGGTGACAAGTGGCTGGTGTCTTTCACAACATACTTTTTCTATGAGACTTGTAAGACCAGTCTTGTATCCTTTGTGACCCCTTCTCATCCCCAGGTTCAGTCATGGTACAGACACATCAACTCCACCATATCTTCTGTGTCCTACCCTAATTAGGCTAATTGTAAGGGTCCTGCCAAGCAGAGAGTCCTGCTGTGCAAGGCGGGGATTGGCAACTGCAGCTTCATGTCCAGACAGAGAGGCATGATGCGACAGCTAAAGGGCAGGAGAAGTCCTGCCACCCCCATCTGAAAGGCTGGGAGGGGACTTGTCCTGCTGGGCTGGGAAGGGAGAAAGCAGCTAATGCAGTCAAAATCCACATGCCTTCCTCTGATGGCTCACGCTGCAGTGCATCCTCCTCCTCACAGGCCGTACATGGTGACAGCCTCACTCCAAGCCACCCACCTTTTCTGGTTCATGTCTCACTATGCTAGGAGTTGCCTTTTGTTTTCCACTCTGTTGGGACATGTTCAGAACCCTGATGAGTTATAGGGAGGGGAAAAAGCATTAAGAAAAAAATATTTACATAAATAAATGAATATCTGTGTCAAATCAACAGCCTTCACACCCCAACCCTGCAACTTTTCAAAATAATTTACAGTGCTGTCTTAAGATAGGGAACCTCAGAGGAGATCAGCCATTAGCTATATAAGACACCCAGACCTATTGTCTCTCTTATACTCCCCAAGAGCAGAGAAAACATTAACTTTCTGAGGTGCTGGGGTTGAATATTTTATAAAGTTTATTTGTATTGCATCTCTCAGATTGTCTTTGTGGTAGAAAGCATGAACAGACTGACTCCAATCATTCCTCCCTACACCCACAATTAAAATATCTACAAGAGGAGGACATACTAGGTACATTTTCAACCAGGGAAAAAGTAGCAGATAGGAAAATATAGATATAGCCCTAGAGAGAAAAAAAAATTCACAATCTGCCCTGATTTAGACTCCTTGATAAATTATTTTAATAGCATATTTTAAGGGTGAAGTTTTTAAACAGACAAATTGTAGAAATAATAAAGCTACACTAAACACACACCATTGCTGATAAATTAGCTATTAAAGCAAGGCTTGGGAGGGGAATTGTCTATTGCCATATTGCTGAATTCACTCTTCTGCTGTTTACATACCAAGAACAACACAGGCTTACATTTAAATGCATGCCTGGAGGCACACAGTTTCTAAAAGCAGATTAACAGCAGTATGACTCCTTGTCTTGGGAACTGCAGAGCTCCTCAGAAATCTTCCTGGAGGCTCTGCAACACCTCTGGAGCTCCAGTTCACGTGCCCTTTGTAGCCAGGTCTACCCTTTATGGGTGTCCAGGTCCCCATGTACACACCCCCGTTCTCATGTCCACGCCCAGCCTGGGGGTGGCTGGTGAGGGGGATGGAGGCACAGACACATGGAGGAAGGATGCTCAGTCAGGTAATGCACTCAAGGACCTGAAATATCAGGAGGAAAAACTACTGCTGCAGAGGTGCCACCAATGCCATAAAAAGCCAGAGAAGCCCAAAGGACAGGCAAGGGCAGTAGAATTCAGACTATAATCACTATGGGCATGGAAGATAAGTTTTCCATAATTCCAGGGGATTTTAATGACAATTAAATAACCTGTCATTATCCTTAATAACATACAGATGAATTGAAGTTTGCCTGCAGAAGCAGTGGTGGCCAAGGTCAGTAAAAAGAGGTTGATATGAGCAAAGCCCCACATTTTCAAAAACAATTCCCGTGGCGCTTTATACTTCAATAGGACAGTGGTGTCTAAACCAAATCATATTTACAGGATAACAGTAAATGCAACTGTTTGCTTCCAGGTATATTCTCTGAGACTTAGTGTGTGCTGATAAGTTTAACAGAGAAACTTTCATTCCAGAAAAAAAAAAATAAATTGTATTCTATCACTTACAGGCAAAGATATTTACCCCAGACCCCAGACGCAGACCAGCTACCAGAGTCAGGCCATCTGCAAGGCTGTAGTTCAGACTGTCAGCGCCTCCATTATTCCTCTGCTGAACAGCTCGTACCATCTTTCATAAAAAATTTGCTCTGGGCTCAGGTTTGACATAAGAGCCTTAGCTGAGCAACATCAGTGTTTTTAAAATAAACTTTATAAAAACCCAGTGGCCTTTCTCTTTTAGTGATATTGGCTTGTTTGGCTTGGATTTTTTTCCTCTGTACTCCTATAACTCAAAAATGTCTCTAGAGCAAATGAGAGACTCAAGTATTAAATAATCAAGAGGAGTTATCTTTAAATAAATACTTAACTATACATGGCACTAATGAATTCAAACAGCTTTAGCAAGTACACAAGCACTGAATGGTTCTGCAATGCTCAGTGATTTTTTATTTTAAAGAAAGTCAATTTACTGTCTGGTTTGGCAGAGGATGGGCAGATTATGGCTCTGCTGCCATGGCTTGTGTTAACTTTAGCAGTACTGCATTTATTCCTCCTCCCACAAACACATTCTCTGTAAAAAGAGCAAGGTCTCAATATTTGATAATATAACTGACAGTCATGTTCCTTCACCGTATTCATGGACCTTTTTATCGTTGTGCCAATAAAAGGAGGCTATAGGAGGAGAATCATACAGCAATGCACATGTGTGTGCTTGCAAGACCTGACACACAGCCTGTAAGGCAGAACAGAAATGTTGCCCTTAGCACCTACAATCATGGCAGGTTTGCTGGTGCAAAACATGTTGGATGCTTCTGCTCACAGCTGAATATGTCAACCTATCTTTCAAGATCAAGTAGGCTCACCCTACATGTAGAAGTAAACTTTGTTTATTCCTGCCTTGGAAATGCGACTGGGCTTAGAGTTGAGCTGGGTTTTCTCTTACATACATCATTATCACCTGTAATATCAATTCTCCATCTCACTTGACCTCAAGCTAAACCTACAGTTTCATCTCTGCTCCTTTACTGTTCCAGAGAGGGTTGACAGCTTCTGACTGATGGGAGAAGAACCTGCCCTGGCTCCACAGGAGCAGAAGTTGAGCCCAGCAGAACTGCTGCCCAAGGACTTTGTCAGCTGGAAACTCCCTGTGGTCCTGGAGACATGAGAAACAGTTGGCAACCTGCTGTAAAACAGGGATTTTCTGCAGAAAGGGGCTAAGGCATGCAGGTTGAAAGCCTGTGTCCTGAACTTTACCCTGAAGTCTAACATGCTGCCCATGGGTTATTGCATCCACCTGCCTGGGTGACCAACACCAAAACCCAGCCCTCAGCCACAGCCTCCTCCTGGTCACTGCAACACAAGAATAATCCAACTTACTGGAGACTGGGTCCCTAAATCCCTTCTAAGAAACACTGAGAGCTTGTACCATGTGTGCCAAACTACCTAGAGAGTGTGAAACCACCCGAGTGCCACCACATAATTTCACAGTCTGGATATGTGTGGTGGCATGTCTCAGGCAATCACCAAGAAAAGATGGCATATCAAACAGCACGTAAGAGTGTTGCTGGCTGAATGCCACTTAGCTCAAAATTCATAAGCCAATACATTTTCATGGTCCCAAAAAAAGATAAGTTACTTACAGTGCAAGTACTACAGTGACCTACATAAACACAGTTCTTTTGTAATGAGTAGTCAAAAATGAC